TCGATCTGCCTGTTCTGCTCCCCACTCTGTCTCTGGTGAAGCCTCTCGCCATCCCTGAGCCTCTAGCCTGTACCCCTGTTCTGTATGTACAAATAAATAAATCTTTAAAAGCTGAATGATTTTGAGTCACTCAAAAACATATTTATAAGGATCACAAAGGATCATTCAAAGGATAGTAGATAAAAATATCACAAATCAAATGAAAATCATGCCCTTGCAGCTCTAATGTATAAATACCTAATTATGACAAATGACTGTTCTGATATCTCAAAATATGTGAGGAAGTAAGCCATGGAGTTATGTGGGAAAACACCCAGTTGGAGGGACCAAAATGTGAAAGGCCAAAGGTTAAATGTGTCTAACAGGTAAGTCAATAAATAGCAATAAGCCTCAAGGTGCAGAAAATTAGGAAATAACTCAGCAAGTAATAAGGGCTACATCAATAAGGGCTCGTATTGCAACAGCAGAACTTCGACTTTCACCCTGACATTCATTTGGAAAAGACAACTAGTTGTAGCTGATGTATGAATCAGCAATGCAGTGGAGGAAGTGGAGGGTTTTGGAATAATTTAGGATAATGAGTATAGTGGTTTAAAACGAGAATGAGACAGTTGGTGAGAGGTGGCCAGATTTCAGATATATTTTCTCAGATACACACATATATCTGTGTACACATACACACATGTATAAAGATGAACAAAGAGAAGTACAAAGCCTTCTAGTAAGAGAAACTGAAAGGACAGAGCTTTTTGAGATGGGGAGAGCTACTGAGATGGAGAAAATAAGAAGGTACATGCTGATTTGGTGACAGAAAGTAGGAAGAACACATCAAAATAGACATCTCCAAATTAGCCAAGACATTTGCTAAGTAGAAATTTGGTTATGTAAGTGGAATACAAGGGAAGCATGAGAACTGAAAATAAAAGTTTGGGAGCCAGTAGCATTTAGATGATATTTACAGACTTGAGATTGAATGCAATCACCTAAAGAATGTGAACAGATCGAAGGACTGAGTTCTGAGGCACTCCTAGTTTTTAGAAAGAGTCCACAATTAAGACTTAGATAGCAAAAGGGAATTAGTGAGAGGGGAAGAAACAGAGAAAATGGCATCCATCGTGGGCTTCCCATCACCAAATCACCCATGTGCCATCACCATAGTCCAGTGCACTTCCCCCATTTTGATCCCATTCCTCACTCCAACTCTGTAAACTGTCTCTGGTGTATAATTGTTCATTATTATTATTTTCCACCTCCTGGTCCTTTATGCTCCTGCTATGAGTGAAGCCATCTGGTATTTTTCATTTTATTTCTGGCTTATTTCACTAAGTATGATTCCAGCTTCTTCAGGCTCCATCTATATTGCTGCAAAAGGCATGTGTTTATCTCTTTTGATTGCTGAGTAATATTCCATTGTGTATATGTGCCTCATCTACAAAAAAATTATGTTTTAAGAAAGCTCTCTATGTAAAAATTTGGCATGGAATCCTGAGAAGGATAATATCAAGAGAAGAATGAGAATTATTCTAGATTCAAAGAGACATAATAACTAAAATACTGTACATAAATACTGGTTAGATCTTATTTGAAAAAGTTAAGTCATAAAAAAAATACTGGTTGGATCTTATTTGAAAAGGCAACAATTCTAAAAAAAAAAAACAAAAAAATCATACTTGGGGCCACTAAGGAAATTTGAAAGTGTACTGGACACCAAGCTAAAGCACTTAGGGCATTATAAGAGCACCTTTAACTTATTTTCAAGTGACTGTGTAAAAGAGATATTATAAAATGTTAACACTGTAATCTAGGTAGAAGGTACAAAGAAATTCATTATATTTTTTTTTCAGTTGCTCTAAATATTTCATGAAAACTTTTGTAACAAAAGTTAGAAAAAAGTAAATGACTCATGTGGAGTGTCCAGGCTTTCATTTCATCATTACTACTGTTAATTTTCTTTAAAATATTACCTAGAGTTATATGTAGCTATAGATCTGTACATTTCAAGTTTTAACATAAGTTTACCACAACTGTGATCAACTGTAACAAATCTTAGAGCAGCAAAATGAACAGTAACAACTGATCTTGCAGGCTAGACAATGAAGTGCCAGTGAAGTCACATAAACCTGCCTATAATAAGTCAAAACAGAAAGTCTTTTATTTTGTTTTGGATAGAGGATAACGAAAAGCAAATCCAATAATTCAAAACAGTGCAAACTTTCCACGCCCAGTTAGCACCTGTCTATTTTTTTAGGGGAGAGTGTTTTTAGAAGAGAGGGCAAGTTTATTTTCAAAAACTCTATTCAAAATGTCATTTTCAAAAACTCTATTCAAAATGTCATCACAGGAAGAGATGTGTAAAAGCGAACATTCCCTGTGGCAATGGTATAAAATGCGGTTGTCTAGGCTAATTAGTAGGTACTGTTTTCCTATGAATAAGCCAAACTCATTTTAGTGCTCTAACAGGATGTTTTTTCAATTTAGCAAAAGTGAGTTAGGGGATCATTAGAAAAGGAGATCCTTAAAAACAGCCTAGTTAAATTTCTTCAGGATTCTATTTTGGCATGAAAACTATGGCTATTAATGATACAAAAAGATACTCACTTAGTTGATGGTACATGGGTTTATGCAATCCTTGAAGTCTAATTGATGCCACAGCAGCAAGCTTGCCGGGGGGTTGCATTTTCCCATCTAAGAGATACCATATTCGAGCAAAAGTGGCCCATTGCTTGAAAATAAGAAGAGGAAACAATAAGATCCTAGTTAAAATGTAAACAACTGAGTTTATTATTATATATGCCAACACATGTATTCTACAGCTAGTGTCAATGATTAACAGGAAAAAATATACCATTCAAGAGTTTTGTCTTTATTTCTACTTCTGGAAAGGGGTGGAGTTTTCATTATTCTTCAACCATATGTAGCTAAGACTACTCTCCTATCGATTGCAGATCAATCCTTTGATATTTTCATCGAAAAAAATATGATTAAAAAGTAAAATGCTGACACAATGCTAAGTAGCTATGATTTTTTTAAAGTTCAAGTTTATTTTTTGAATTTACCTCATTGGGAATAAGTAACAAAACAGTCCAAGAAAGAAATCACATGGAAGACTGGGTTACGACGATTCAAAGACCAACGTATGTGAAACTGAACAGCGCTTCTACACAAAACCTTCAATTTCAGCCTTCTCTATTTCAGTTGATGCCATAGCTTGGGTAAGACGTTTCTTTTTTGTGCTCAATATCCAATTCTACCAGGAATCTCACTGGCTCCAACTTCAAACTGCTGTTGATAGCCTGATTGTGCCACCACCACGTCTAATCTGGATTATTGCAATAGCCTCTAAACGGTTTCTTCCTCCTATCCTCATCTCTGAAAAGTCTCTATTTACATTAGCAATCACAGTGCTCTCTGTAACATCTAAGTTACTCCGTGGCTCAAAACCCTCAATAAATTCTCCTTCTACTCAGTAAAAAATTCTCACAATGATCTGCTATGACATACGCGATCCACCTGTTATTTCTCTTATCTTTTCTCCTGACGCTTTTTCCAAGGGTAATAAAACAAGACAGGAGAAGGGGTGACTGAAAAGAGCTTAGGGGACAAGTACCAAGAAAAGGACAGCAGGCGATAGTCAGATCACGACTCCCTAGTTTTTGCTTTCCCGATGCACTTCCGGGCCCAAGGACTCGGCTTTTTAGTCACTCAGCTTCACGGAGTCTCGCTGAGTGATCTCTTTCAGTGTAATGAATCTCATCAAGCCACAGGAGTCCGAGCTCACCTGGTTTGCTTTGGAAAAGCTCGACATGCCTCTCACCTGTAGGACCGCCCTTCTTTTCCCAGGATGCAAGTTCAGTTCCTCAACATCACCAGCCCGTAGGGGAACATATAAGACCGGGCATAACAGTTCCTAGGCCGGCCGACATTCACCTGTTCTCTCTTCCTGAATCCCCTCTGATCTTGCCATGGTAACCATTCGTCTTGAAAGCAGGGAATAATGAAGCTACCGAGAAAACAATTCCCAATATAACCCGCTTGCTAAGAGTTCTGAAAAGCGGACAGCAGAAGCACCATTTCCAGCCGGCCTAAGTGGCAGGAAACCGGAAGTGCATCACTGCGCGCGGCAGTTTGGATTTAGAAACTGAGACCTTAAACCGGGGGTCAGCTCTGAGGCTATGGATCGGTACCTGCTTCTGGTCATCTGGGGTGAAGGACGGGTCCCGGCCTCGGCTGATGGGGAGGCGGAGCCTGGACCCCGGGCTTCTGCTGCAGAGGGTGCGGAGAAACCGCCGGGTAAGCGCAGGGCTGAGAAAGAGCGGGAAAGGCTTGTGGGAGCGAAAAGAAATTCGGGTTAACTTCTGCTGGGAAGTCCTTATATCAGATCTGTCCCGGGAGTCCCTGACTCTATCTGGGATTGACCTAATAAGGACTGAAAGATATTATCTTTGTGGAGAAATCGGGGCAAAAGTTGGGGTGTCAGATGGCAGCACTCAGTAGTTTTTGACACCGTAAATAATAAAGTTCACCCTGCTTTGGTCATGGACTTGGGGCTCTTCGGAAATTTGGAATTGGAATTTCAGCTTCCTGTGGTCTATGCGCTGGCAATACAGAAAAGAGCCAGAAGAAAATAGCTTTTGACTATTTTAAGAGTTTATGTCCTAATGGGACGATCATCTCACACATAAACTAAATTTAAAAACAAATGATACAATGAGAGTAATTTTAGTCATTTGAGATTGCACGACTTTCAGGTGCTCCTGTCTTAGAATCTATTTAATTGTATTAATTTTGACGGAGCGGGCATTCAGAAGAAGTAGTGTGTGATTATATATAGAATATTGTGAGACTGCCTTCTTGCCTTAATATTACTCTTTGGGGGGGATTTTGGATTTGTATTAACTGGTCAATATGAGGACCTTTGCTATTTTCTCTGCTTTAGATTTATTATATCAGAACTCTTGTTTTATATACAACATTTTATACCTGTGAGTCTCTGATGGTGAAATTGGAATAAGTTTATTAGGTTATGGACTGTTGAGCCTGTTAAATTGGTCTTTCCATTTTCAGACCTAACAGCAGCAAGTGTTTATCACCTTCTGAAAAGAAGCATTAATGCTTCAATTAATCCAGAAGATAGTACTTTCCCTGGTAAGTATAACAAACTTTTCCTTTCTCTGCCACAGCATGTGTATTGGAAAGAAAGTTAACTTGTTAATGGTATGTAAGTCTCTGGAATAAGGTGATAACCAAGGAAATACAAACAAAAAAGAAGCTGTCCTTTTTTTTGATGCTTAAATGTCATGAAATTGTTATGAACGTTATTCTAAGTTTTCAGCGTGAGTTTTGTTGCTCGTAATTTTCTTACCCTTACTTAGGTTCTTATAAAATAGGGGGATGTGTCATTATGAGGAGGATTGTGATTTTGTCCTGAGTAAAATATATTCTTATACTCACTTCATTACCATTTCCCACCCCCACCCCTTTACTCATTTTCTTAAAGGTGCTTTTAATTGTTAGACTCAATGGTCTTTTCTGCATTCTTTTTTTTTTTAAGATTTTTTATTTGTTTATTCATACAAAACTGGGGTACAGGACAGAGATGCGGAGGGTGAGAGGATTCACCAGGGACAGAATGGGGAGCAGAACAGGCAGATCCACGAAGTACACTGCTGAGGGGAGCAGCAGGCAGGTCAGGAGAGGTCTGCCGCGCCATGTGGTCACCTCCAAGGCAAGCGGGATCGAACTCATGCGGAAGTGGCTTAAGCTTCTTAGTGCAGTGCTTTAACCCATTGCACCACCAGGGAGGGCTTGCATTCTTATCTGCTTTAATTTTTTCAAACGTATTTTTCTTTTATTTTCATTCTTTTGTAAAAAGAAAAAAAAAAACTTTTGTCCTTTGGTTTTTATTGACAAAATATAGGTCCATCTACTGTTTTTTGTTTTTTTTTTTAGATTTATTTATTTATTTATGTACACAGAACTAGGGTACAGACCAGAGGTATAGGGGCAGTGAACGCATTCACCAGAGACAGAGTGGGGAGGAGAACAGGCGGACTGCAAAGTAAACACTGCTGTGGGGAGCAGTGGGCGGGTAGGAGAGGCTTTCGAACTCATGCTGAAGTGACTTTAGCTTCTTAGTGCTGTGCTTTAACCCACTGCGCCACCAGGGAGGGCCCGATCCAACTACTTTTTATTTATTTATTTTTTTTATTTTTGTTTTTTTCCGACTACTTTTTAAATAATAGTTTCTCTTTTCTTTCGTCTTGGCCTCTGAGATTGTCATTAAAAGGCTCAGATAAAGAAGATGTCAATATAGATTGACACCTAAAAGCTGAGAGAACGTTCTGGACATGTCAGGGAGAGTGCCCAACAGGAGCAACCAATTCCTATTGGTAACTGTAGTTTTCACAACTGTATAATCTGACCCTTTTCCCTTTCATCAGAGAACTACTTGCCTCTCAAGTTTCAATCTTTGCTTCTAATATGCATGTGCTGTGTAGTCTGCTTGCCAAATCCCAGTGGTACTCATTTGCTTTTTAAGTTGGTTCATTTAAGCTGGTATACTGTTACTGCAAGAAAGACTTTCTTTCAGCTGCTCATCAACTTGGCAGTACTATACGAGTTCTCACGATAATTGACCTTTTGGGTGGGGTGAAGTTTTCAATACTTCCCATCTTATTTACATAGTGGTGTGGGACTATATAAACAACTGTGCAGCTGAAGCCATGCTAATAGAATGACCAGTGTGTGTTTCGTGATGTTTAACATTTTTGGTCAGAACATTAAAAAATCTTAGCAGTGTTTGGCAACACTTAACGGTGCTCATCTTTCTGAAGTCTTATAGCACAGAGGTTCTTGCTGACATAATTTTTCCTGGGATATCTTCATCCTTTTTGTCACAGTATTATTACCACAGCAGCTATTTCTAGAGTCCATTTACATTAGATTTGAATACCATTTCCAGTGCTTTCACTTTGTTTTTGTTGTTGTTGTTCTTGTGCTTTCATCTTTTTTCCTTTATCCTCATGTGTTAGTTTCCTCTTCCTAGTACCCATTTTTGTAAACTAGTAGGAAGTGGACTTATCACGGAGAGACTAAAAGGCAACACAGTCACATCCTTTGCCATCTGGTTTGATATAAAAGATCTGCACTGACCTCATCGTAATCAGCCATTAAAGGCTTTAATGAATGAAAAGGTGAGATCAACTCTGTGCCATTGAAGTTTGCTGAATGTAGGCTAAGACAAAGCAGAGTAAGGTCTTCTGCAGAAAACCAGCTAAAAACTGAAAGAGCAGGGTGAAGGAAAATGTGTAGAACTGAAGGAAATTATGGAGGTAGAATCCATAATTGTGTTGGATTGGTCTGATTTAGGAGAAGAGTGAGAAAGAAATCAAGGACGGTTAATAGTATGATGGTGGCAGTTAGTGAGAAAAGAGAATTTGACATTGAGAAGTAGCATATATTCAGTTTAAAATGTGTGAATTGCCTGAAAGATGTCCAAGTGACAAGTTGTGTAAAAGTTGGAAACGTGTCTATAACTTAAAAGACAGAGTAAGAGTAGAGATATAGTTTATTCATCAATATATAGATATAAGCCCAAGACCTGAGAAAAATGGGATTGCTATGGCCAGTGAGAAGGGCAGGTCATCTTGAACTGAGTCCTAGTTTTTAAAAGAATAAGAAGGGGCAGATGGAGAGATAGGTGCCACAGAAACTGTTTTAGAAGAAATTAGTCAAATGTGTCATTTTTGCTTCCTTCCTTCTTTCTGTGAGAGGTTAAGAAACAGCAAAGCTAAAATTATCAGTAATATTCACTAACAGGTAAGATAATAGTGACTTTGGTGTGTATAGTCAGTTGTATGTTGGCTATTAAAGTCGAGGTTGAGATGTCATTGCAGGGGAGTAGAAAAAGTCATGAGGAAACGACTATACTCTCAATGTAGACAGCACTTTCAGAATATTTATCCTTGAAGAAAGGCAAAGAAAGAAATCTAGTAATGCCTGGGAAAGGAAGGTGAATTTAAAGGAGATTCTTTTCAAAAATAACTTGAGCAATACTTGCACAAATTATAATGCTAATGGGAAAGAGAGTATAATCAGTGGCCTGTGGTCCCAGAGGTGGTCTGAATGGTAACCTTGAAGTGGAAGGGCAGCGCCTCTTGCATGTTAACCGATGGACAAAGGAAGCACTGATAGGAATGCATGTGGGGTAATATGATTGCTGACAGGAGGCTAAGGGAGACACCACCTGATGAGAGCAGCAAGAGGGTGAGACTTCTGGCACTTGCCATTTTCCCTAAATTCCATGAGTTAAGCCTGCATTACCATATTTCTCATTTCCTTCCTCTTTCCTCTCTAGTTTCCATTACATAACTCTGTATTCTTCCTGACTCTTTTGGCATATACCCTGGACTGACGCTCCATTTCCTATGTCATGATACCTTTATCTTTAAGCTGAAGTTACTCTTAGCTCTGTTCTTGCTAGCCAAGCTTGACCAGATCTTCATGGGCTTTGAGGAAGAAATTGTTTTCATTAAAATGTCTTGTACAATGTTGGATTTCTCAATAGAAATAGAGTATTGTTTGTCACATCTTTATGGTATATTTTAGTGCTTGAAGTGATGATTAAAGTACTAATGGATTTGAATTGTGATGAATCAAAGACAATGTTCATTGCTAGTGAAAAATTTTGCCCCTTAGGTAAATTGTTCTGTTTAAATTTTTAGCTGACATTTTAAAAAGTCCCACACACGGCCCTCCCTGGTGGCGCAGCGGGTTAAAGCACAGCACTGAGAATCTAAAGCCGCTTCCGCATGAGTTCGATTCCCGCCTGCCCCGGAGGTGACCACATGGCGTGGCAGACCTCTCCTGACCCGCCCACTGCTCCCCTCAGCAGTGTACTTCATCGATCTGCCTGTTCTGCTCCCCACTCTGTCTCTGGTGAAGCCTCTCGCCGCCCCTGAGCCTCTGGCCTGTACCCCAGTTCTGTATGCACAAATAAATAAATCTTTAAAAAAAAAAAAAAAAAAGTCCCACACTACACACACACACACACAATATGTATGTTATATGCCTACATAGTACATGATATAATATATATGTATAAAGTAGTATATAATATAGTATGTGTTTATATTAAACTTGCAATGTTTATGTCAGTATTGTGAAGTTTTCAAGTATGTGTGCTAGTACCTGCTTATTGATACACCTTTCTTCTAATAAGTGTAATTTTGTTTTCAAGCCTGTTTGGTGGGTGGAATACCTGGTTCCAAGAAATGGTTCTTTGCAGTGCAAGCAATTTGTGGATTTTATCAGGTAATTAAATTGTTATTGTGAATGTCTTTATTAAATAATTCTGTGAACCCATACTTAGTGCAATATTTTGATGTATTAGTTTTGTAGCTCTGACTGGGAAGAGATGCATTTTGGTGTGGAACAAGATGAAATTGAAGATCTTCTTCAAACAAATATTGAAGACTATTTGAGTACTGCTGAGTGTTTTGAAGAAGAGGACAATAGTAGGGAATCAGTATCCTTGACGGAGTATGTCTACTTGCTCTTTATTTCTCTTTAGACTACTTAACATTACATAGTATTTAGCCATGAAAGTAAAAATTTGATATTTTAGTAGCAATGGTAATTTTAGTTAATTAAAATTTTCACCTCTTTATTTTAGAAGAGGACATTAGGCGATTAGCACATTTATTTGTGCTATTTTTGTCTTTTTTATACTGAAGTATAATTGACATATGATTTTTGTTTCGGGTATACAACACAATGAATTGACATTTGTATACATCAAAATAAGTCCACTTACTTTCTTTTCTTAGGCACTTTAAAATTTGGACTGTGATGTTATTGATAACAGTTCCTGTGCTGTCTATTGTATCTCCGTGACTTATTTATTTTGTAACTGAAAGTTTGTATCTCTTTTTAAAAAATTTTTTTTAAAGTTTTATTTATTTATGTATACAAAACTGGGGTACAGGTCAGAGGTGCGGAGGGTGAGAGAGGACACCAGAAACAGAATGGGGAGCAGAAAAGGTGGATCCACTGAAATACACTGCTGAAGGGAGCAGTGGGGAGACAGAAGTCTGCTGTGCCATGTAGGCCAGCTCCCTGGCCAGGGATCAAACTTATGCCATTTACTACATTGGCTAGGGATAGTTTGATAGTGCTGAGGCTTTAACCCTTGCGCCACCAGGGAGGCCCCAGTTTGTGTCTCTTGATTGATCCCCGTAAGAATTAAGATTGAAGCCAAAATATTTTTACTTTTTTATGTAAGACAGAAACATGTGATTTCTTCAACTTATGTCTATCTTAACATTTTAGACCCCTTTAAAATCTATAAAGCATTCCTGAGGAACATATAGATTTAGGGTTTTTTTTTTGAATTATTGTACAATATATAAGTTAATCCAAGTGATGTAGATTGTAAAATATTTTTTTCTTCATAAAATATCCTGACTTTCATTTGAGTCTTCCTTAATATATCATTGTAAAAAATACTTTTATGTTAGTATCTAAATATTTAAAGTTTCTATATTCTTGAAAAAATTTTCTTTTTCTATATGCAAATCCTGTTTGTTCTGATTAAGTGGTGGGAAACATTGTAGGCCTGAGGGAAGCACACTTAACCAGGGGTTAGGAGAGGTAGTCTATAATTTCATGGTGGTAGGTCTGACATGTTACATCTCTGTTCCTCTTTATTTTCTCACCCATAAAAAAATCAACATCCTGATAGGCGAGCTTTCCAAGCTTAGAGCAGTTATCATTCCATGTTTTTCTAGTACTATTAAAAAATGATGAATAGAAAAGTAAATATTTCTGGTAAGTGATCTAATAATTATTTCCACAAGAGGGAGCTTGAAAACTATACCATACAACACATTGAGTGTTTTAGACACTCGTAGGTTATAATAAACGATTTAAATAGCTTTATATAAAGTAATAAATTATTTTGAGAAAATAAATTTCATCATTTGGGTAAAAATAGTGGATTCTGAAGAATTGAAATAGAACATACTATTTTCTAATCAGGGCCATTATATGTCATTCAGAGAAAAGCACTGTCTTTATTAAATACTTAGCAGTACCAACTTAAAAAGTTAGATCTATTTGTATGGTGTATATTTAGTCTACTAAGTAGGATATAGTTGAGTGTCTTTTTTTTTGTTACTGTTTGTTTGCTTTTGGGTGTGGCCAAAAACTTGAATTGAGGGTTTCATTCCTACCTTTCACCTCTACTTGTTATGTGATTTTAGGCACATCATTTAGTAGGGATGATAGTGATAATATTGCATTGATTCATGGGATTGTCATGAGGATTAAATGAAATAATGTGTCTAATAACCAGGGTCCGATGTATAGACCCATTTAATTAATGTTATTTCTTACAATTAAATGTAAGGTGTATGTGTGGGTTTCTTTTCTGACTTACCTTTTATTTTAGGCTATATGAAGAATCTGCAGAAAATTTGCATCAGTTATCGGACAAACTTCCTGCTCCTGGTAATATTTTATGTCAGCTTTCAGCAATTTTACCTAATATTTTTATTAATTTAGTCTTTATGCTTGAGTTCTCACTTCTTATTTTTAAGTTCAAAATGAAGCATGATTTCGTAGTAGAAATTGAGACAATATTTTCTATTAGTACATTATTAAGGCATTATAGTACTCTTAATTGTTTTCATTTAGTTGGGCAAAAATCAGAATTTAACAAACTAAATACCCATCTCTCTTTTCTGAGTTAGTTTTACTGAAGAAGAAAACACTATGTTACACTGTTTTGGTATAATAGGCACCCCGGGCAAAAGAGTAATCTAGATCATTTGTACAATAATTCTTCTATTGTATGAAGTAACTATGCACATTGTCAGATGGAAAGTTGTACAACAAAAATAGCTTTTTATTTACTTTTTTCTTTTTACCAAAATCTTTCATCCTTTAATTAAAAATGGAAACCATAATTTGTGAGAAATATTGCATCATACTAGTCCTAGAACTGTTTTTTTTGTCTTAATCATTTTTTGGTGGTAATCAAATAACTGGCATTCAGAGGTTGGTACAGTGTGCCTTTGGCAAATACCTTTGAAGAGCTTTCTTTCTGAAATGTTGATTATTGAAGGTCATTATTAAGGAGGTATTTATTGTGTTGTCTGTATGTTAAATATTGTATTAAGAGCTGAATGTTCAGTGATGGTGGAAGCATATATGATTTCCAGAAAGAATTTCATAGCTCACAGTCTAATGATTATATTGAAGCTCAGATTTTAGTACAGTTGATCCCACATAGAAAGTAACTGAATATGTTATAAATATATCAATTTTTGAAATAAAACGTATCAATTTTAAAATATTACTGAAATACACAGTTGATATTTTGGCAAATTGGAGTATTTTCATTGTCAGATTTTTCTCTGGTTTTTGTTTCATTTTTGCTATTTCTGGTCCTTCAGTAATTTATAATTTCATAACATTTTAAGTTTCATTAAGTTATCCTCTTTCTCAGGAGCCAATGATATTGTCCATATAATTAAGTTTTCTAAATGTCATATTGTTCTTTTCAAAGAGAAATAATTTATTTGAACTAATTCATTCCCTATTGTATGCAAAGTTAAGTATAAAAGATATAATGAAATTGCACAGGTTTTTGTTTTTCCTCTTCATTACAATAGCATTGATGATTTCAAGAGTAATGTGTATAATTAACCACTGGGATAGAATTGGCAAGTAATTATGATATATAGTTCATTGTTTTCTAGCATATGCTAGCTATTTCAGGATAATACAACTTTAAATCAAATTGTGAACTTTTTAAAATTTTATACTCCTAAAGATGTGTATTGTTTTGAAATTTCAGAAATTAAAGTTAAAATTGTCCTTTATCTTCTAAATAAACATAAAATGCAGTTGTTCAGGGTATTGTCAAATATCTTTGAAAAATAACAAAAATGTTTTTCTCTTTCTAGGTAGAGCAATGATAGATGTAATACTGTTGCTTTCTGACAAAAGCTCCCCTAAATTGAAAGACTGCTTACCTGCTATAGGAGCCTTAAAACATTTGAGGGAATGGTATTCAGCAAAAATTACTATTGCAGGAAATCACTGTGAAATGTAAGCTTCTCTGTTCATATTTGGTAATTGTTTATTTTTAAATAACATGCTATCTTGTTTGTAATAGGCTCTACATTTAAAATTTTTAATGTGACAGGATAGTTTTGACATATTATGATTAGAGATTTCTCTAGAGTTTTTTCTTACTTCCTACTTTTTCAGATGCTTATGGTTTTAATACATGTTCATGCTGTTTTATAACCACTTTTGCACATAAACTTCAAACCTGCGATCTTTTAGATTGGTTTATGTTATTCAGTGAGCATCACGATGACACCATGGACAAATGGTTTTGTGTGCCAATATAGAAATATCTGCTGTTGTCTTTATAATATTTTCATAGGGATTGTCTGTTCTAGTTCTGACCCTTAAGTAAGTATTCAAATTGGATTCATTCACTTTATGATTTTTTTTTTAATTCAGCAAGCATTGTTGAGCATTAACTTCATGCCAACCATAGCAGTAGATGCTGGTGATCTAAGGAAATGGTTCGGTCTATTTTATTGACATACAAGGAGAAGCAGGAATGCAAAATGCCCTTATCATCTGTAATAACTGCTGTTAAGGAATCCCATACAAAGATATGTGGGAACATTTTAGGAAAGCAGTTATTCTTTTGAACGTGGAATCAACATTGAGTCTTTGTGTTGTTGTTCATGTACATCTGACATACATGTGTCCATATATAGTAAGAGGAAGGTATATTTCTCCATCTGTGGAACTAATTACTCTGAATTCATGGGACTATTGGGATTAAATAAACATGTGATAATAACTCAGAAACTGACTTAGTGGATATTCTGTATTTAAAAATGTTAAAGTGGATAAAGTGGGCAATATAAACTGCATTTTTATGTGTTAGGTTTTTATAACTAACTATAATCATAACATCTAATTAAAATAAAATCCCTGCATTTAATTATCCTAAACTTTTATTTCTAGAAGTTGTCAGAAAATTGCAGAATACCTTTCTGCTAATGTTCTATCCTTAGAAGATCTCAAATATGCTGTTGACTCAAAGGAATTATGGCGGGGAAAGATTCAAATATGGGAAAGAAAAGTAAGTGGAATTCTCACTTACCACAGTTTGCAAAACAGGCCTTTCCATTCTACCTACAATACATAATTTAAATTGTTGTAAACTAGTACTATAGAACAAGAATTTTCTGTAATAATACCTGTTTTCTTTCTGTGTTGATAGAGTAGCTGCAAGCATTTATTGTTAAGCAGCATCTTGTATGTGACTTCTTCAACTGAAGAACTGAATTTTTTATTTGATTTGATTTTAATTAATTTAAATTTAGAATAATAACTGTGATTATATTTTGGACCACTGCAGTTCTAGAATGTAACATTCTTTTAAAATACAGGATTTCGACATTAGTTGAGTGCATCTTCTGTATCCAAGTTGCTTTATTTATTTTATCTCATTCTAAACCCTTGGAAAATGACTTAGAACATTCTCTTTATTGTAATATCATTTTAGGTGATCTCTGCTACCAGCCAAGCTGCTCTTTGATTTTTAACAATTTTTTTTAACCTACCAGCCTCCAGATTTCCCCAGTACCTAATGAAACTCTTAGATTTCATTATTTGAACCCTTCTAATCTCAATTTCAGTGAGATCCCATTGTACTTCAGAATTTCTTCATAGATGAATATGTTTGGTAGTTTTTATAGGTTGAAAAAAGTATTCTTGGTATTTTATATAAATAAAACTAGAAAAGAAAACTGAAACAAGAAAGTTTCTTAATGATGTTTAGGGTTCATGGAAACATAGAAGTTTCTTGCTGTCCTTCCTGTAAAGGTTTATTGTACTGATTACCATATTTTTCCCCTTTTCAATTAATCCTCAATAATGGCTTACTAATACCTAAGACAGGAAGAACTCAGGTCACTGGGTCCTTATTGTTGATTGTATGCTGACTCATTCTTTTCTTGAATATTCAGGTAAACTTCTGCCAGTACGTTTCTTGTAAATAAAACATGTAGCCAACTATGATGAGTATAAATTGCAATTAGGTAGGAAAATTGCTTTCTGAAACTGCATGTTTTCAAACAAATTATGTGATTCTTATGTTCTTTTATGAACAGTAGATTCAATGTTCATTTCTCCACAGGATATATTTAAATCTGGAAGTCACTCTTTTAGGTGGAAAATAGCTTTTAGCCTAAAGTTACTATAATGGTTTTAAATATAGAGTCTAGTGTTAGATTGCATGCACTCAAATCCTAATTCTCTTTCTTGCTAGTTTTGTTTGACATTTTGGGTAATACTTAGCATTTGGTGTCACTGTTGTCATCATCTTTAAATAAAATTAGCAGTACTTTCTATCTCAAATGAGGATTATTATTATGAGGATTAATTTTTTAAAGCACAAAGTAACCATTCAGTAAATGTTTATTATTACTGTGATTGTTAGCATCTCTGGTACTTCTACAGAAATTCATCTTTTCAGCAACAACTTATACTGATAACAAACTGTATGAGAGGCCCTGTTTTAAGAATCTAGTGATGAATAACACAGAAGTTCTGTAAGATTTACAGACTGGTTGGGAGCCAGATATTGAACATATATATGTAGAGGAGGTTGTTTGATTCTATGGTTGAATGGGATAAGTTTAATATACTTCTGTGGGCTAGGGGAGGGCCAACAAGTATTAATGAAAAATCTATGTGTTAAATAGGAAGAATATGTGCATAATTGGAAGAACTACAATTAGAGGAAGAATCAAAAATACATTGACACATCTCCTAACTTTTACATTGCATTACTCTTTGTAACTTTATTCTTGATATCTGTCTGTAACTGTTTCCTTGGCTTTTTTTTTCAGTTTGGATCTGAAGTTAGTTTTCCTGAATTTTGCTTAAAAGGAGTCACACCTAAGAATTTTAGTATATCTAATTTAAAATCTTGCTTTCTTGCCAAAAAGACAATACCATCAAAGGATAAGACTAATTTGCCGAAGGTAATCTATACTCAGCTTTTTATTTTGCAACCATCCATTCATGCATGTTTTTGACCTGTAAGGTATGTTTGAATGTTGAGTTAACATTTGTAATATTTATGCTGAAGAATGCTCACTTACATAATTTTTCTTTTAATTATATATTTAATCAAATTATAGCATGGTGTGTATGTGTGTGTGTGTGTGTGTGTGTGTGTGTAAATGCTGTCAAAATTATCATTATTTTAGTTTTTTAAAATAACGGAATGGTCATAACTTTAGATTACTTTGGTCCTGAAACAAACTTTGGTTTACTTTACTGTGTGACCTTGCTGAGACTCATTGGAAAGAATGTGATGTAAAAGAAAGAAAACAGATTTTGTTATTAGGTAGATTTGGCTTTGAAACCTGACTCTGTCATCTCTGTGATATTGTTATCTTGGTCGATTGATAAACTCATTTGTAAAATGGAGACAATAATAGCACATTTAACTTGCAAAGTTAATATGAGGATTAAATGAGGTGAGAAATACAATTTAAAAAGTATTAGGTCCAGTCCCACTTTTCTTTATACTTATTTTTAAATGCGTGTACTTATAAAGAAATTCTTGTCTGCTCTAGAGAATTAAATACATGATTTGCATGATATATAAATACGTACTTGTAAAGATTCATTTTAAAGTCATAAATCCTAACTACTATTTTTACTTGCATTTATAATATTTAAGGTATTACCTAATTTTTATCTCTTTTCTAGGTTTTCCATTATTATGGCCCTGCTTTAGAATTTGTGCAGCTAATAAAATTATCAGATCTACCCTCCTGTTATATGTCGAACATTGAATTTGAGTTGTATCCTTTTGCATTTACATGTTCATTTTATGTTACATTTTCTGTACCAGATAGTCTGTTTCCTTACCACTTCACATTTAGATGTTTGACCATGCTGCTTTTTAAAAACATATATGATATTCAGTACAGTTTTCTTTGACATTATTTTAAGAGTCCTACTATTTTCAAAATAATCTTTTCTTATCGGCCATGTTTATGTTTCTGGACTAGAAATGGTATTGCTGCTTATCACTTATGTGGTAGGCAGGAGAGAAAAATGTTAGGAATCTGTAGTTAAAAAACAGTAACTTATATACCCTTGAAATGTTCAGATGTTTATGTTAACACTATACTTAGTCCATAGTAGCACTACTGACATATCTTCAGAATCAAAGAAGGATTTGGAGGAATACTTATCCTTAATGAAAGAAATAATTATGAATTTCTGACATTGTGATTTTTAATTAAATGAATTTAAGTACCTTGTGAATTGCAGAATAAAGATCAGAGTATAGAATTGTGTCACAGTTATCTTTTAAAAAATTAAGTAATTGAATTTTTTTTACAATCTTGGTTTTGAGATATTTAATTTACTTGTTTAAAGTAATAGTTCAGTGGCTTTTGTATGTCCCATTCCTTCATTTCTTTAACTCCTTGGTACAGAGGATTGACAAAAAGCAATACCAAACAGAATTCCATATTATTTATGGAACAGATTTCTTCTCTATGTGACAAGGTATAGGAGGTTATTTTGTTGTTGTTGTTATGATTTTTAAAACCTGACATAAGGGATTTGTGAGATGTGTGAGAAAAAGGAATGTAGTTTCAGTCTGCTTTAGCATGATGATTTGGCTTTTCTCATGGAAAACAGGATTTTGTTAATGATTTGTATTAGGATATTTTGGCCATTCCATAGTAATTCTAAAGTCTTCTGTAGAGCTGAAGTGATGTTATGTTGTTAGAAGAGTTCCAAAAATCAGCTTGATGACTGATACTTGTTTTAAAGTTTTGAAATTATAGAACACATTAGATTATTGTTAATCTATTCCTTTAACAGCTGATATATGTTCTATGAGAAGATGTTCATATGCCTGAATTTTCTTTTTCATTAGGGAAGAAGCTTAGAGGGAGAAAAATTTCTGGAGTTTTATTATTTCTTTCTTTTGGTTATATTGAGGATATTATAGCTATTTTTACTTATATTGAGGATATTTATAGCTATTTTAGTGGTTTTACATACATGGGTAATGATGTGATGAAATTAGTATATTTAAACATTTGTTAAACTACACATAAAAATTTTAAGTGAAATTGTGTAAAGTCAAATATGCTCATGAGTTTATCTTTTTTGATTGCTGAGTAATATTCCATTGTAGATATGTACCACATCTTCTTGATCCAACCATCTGTTTTTGGGCATTTGGGCTGATTCCACACCTTCCCTACTATAAATAGTGCAGCAATAAACATAGGGGTGTAGGTGTCTTTTGAATTAATGTTTTTGTATCCTTTGTGTAGATACCTAGGAGTGGAATTGCTGGGTCATATGGAAGCTCCATTTTTAGCATTTTGAGAAACCTCCAATCAGCTTTCCAGTTTGCATTCCCACCAGCAATGTAGAAGTTTTATTCAGTGTTTTATCAAATTGAGTATTTGCTTAAATATAATATGATGGTTTTGAGAGAACAAATATTTAATTAAGATCTGTCTGCCCAGCCATGGGAATACAAAGATGATTAAGTGGAATTGCTCATTAATCAGTCAGTAACTGCTATATGTATTCTGGCAGATGATTGATCGATTTGTAATTTATACTTATTAGCATTAAATCTCTGATGTTTAGAAACAAAAGTCTTGAAGTTACTTTCATATAATTCTCATTTTGAAACCAGAATGATAATCCATCCAAAAGATTTTGAAATTATGACTAGGTATGACAAAATGTTTGATGATAGAACTTCATCTTCTCCTTGGTTTGTAGACATACAGAGAATTATACCCATGACCAACACTTCTAGCAAATACTGCAAACAGCAAAATTTTCAGAGTCCTATGAAAGTAGAGAAGGGACACCTATAATTTCAAAGCCTTGCTTTGTTTTTTGTATGTATTTTTTTTAAGACTTATTTATTTATTAATACAGAACTGGGGTACAGGCCAGAGATGCGGAGGGTGAGAGGATTCACCAGGGACAGAGTGGGGAGCAGAACAGGCAGATCGACGAAGTACACTGCTGAGGGGAGCAGCGGGCGGGTCAGGAGTGGTCTGCCAGCAGACGGGGCAGGCAGGGATCGAGCTCATGCGGAAGTGGCTTAAGTTTCTTAGTGCAGTGCTTTAACCTGCTGCGCCACCAGGGAGGGCCCCTGTTTGTATTTGTTTTAAGGTGAGAATTCTTGTTACTTTATTTTTTATCGTGGAATTGTTGGAAGAGTGTATTCCTGAATGCATGTTAAGCAACTGAGGTATAACTGGAAAGTTGTCAGATGACGCTATTTAAGAGTTACTCTCAGTTTGCAGTTACTAAAAACATGCTCTGTCCTGTCCAGGTTGGTGCTCTTTTTGTACTGCCGTGCACTGTCAGTAATGTGCCTGTTCCACCTCCCAGCCAGCTCAGTTCGAGAAAATGGAAGGAGTATATAGCGAAAAAGCCCAAGACAATTAGTGGTAAGTAGTAAATCTTTAAATTATTTGATGGTATAATGTAATGGACTTACTTAATATGAAGTGGAGATAACATTTCTTTATGATTAGAAGAGTGTTTCATTCTATTAATACTGGTTAAAAAGGACCTAATCATAAGTCTTTTTCTTGCTTAATGTGTTTATACATCATGTTTATACAATCTTATTCATTAAGAATATTGCTGATGTAAAGGAACATTTTGGTAATTACATAGTTAATTAGATATAAGTTTCTGACAACGTTCAGAAATCTTGTGAAAATAAAGTAGTTCATTTATTATGTAGCACATTGAGAAAGCAAACTTGTGGTTGCAGTTTTCTGATGATTAGTAATCTACAGTTAGCGGATGAGGAAATTGGGGCTTGAAGATGTTACAGAGCTATTAATCAGCAAAATCTCAGTTGACATTTTGGCTCTGCCAATGAATAGTGTACTTCTCCAAGGATTTGAAATCAGTCTTTGTGCTCTTAACCACCACATGGAGTTACCTCTCTATTACATTCAAGGTATCATGTAAATGAAGTTTTAATTTCTGCTGTAATATCAGAGATTATTTAAGTAGAAGTCCTAGCATTCCATAAAGAAACTAGAGCTCAAAATGTTTAATGTACTTGTGTAAAGTCACAAAGCTATTTAACACAGCTAGCATTCTTTCATACGTTTGCTTCAGGGTAATGACTGTAAAAAAAAAAAATGGGGCAGTTAATTTACTTGTTTTTTTTTTTGAACTGATTATTAGTTTTGGGATCCACAGTATGATGAGGCTGAGAACTAGAATTGTGTCTACAAGGGTTGATCTAAAAGAAATTTCTAGAAACACTATATAAACCTACATTTTAAAATCAGCAGCTTGTCTTTATAGGAAATACGTAATAAAATGAAATCATTTAATAAATGTAGAATTCTGTAAGTATATCTATTGAGGAAATGTTGGCTTATAATATTGTGTGTGTTTTAGGAATCTAGGTTCTACAAATGTATGTCATCACACCATATCTACCCCCAAAGCTTCAATAGTCCTCCACCATAGTCCCTTGAGCTCCCTTGCCTCTCTGCACCTAGCCTTGCCATTCTCTTCTACTGTAGCCTCAATTCTGCCGTCAGACTTAAAGGGTTGGTTTTGGTTTGTTTCCTGTGTACTTTTGTTGTATTTCTTTATATTCCACATATGCATGCACTCACTTAGTATTTGTTGTCCTTCTTAGTACCTGTATCACTTAGCCCAGTCCTATGTATGTTGCTGCAAATGGCAAGATTTTCCATTCTTTTCTTTATGGCTTTCCATTTTTTGTCTTTAATATTCTATTTTGTATCTGTACTGTATCTCTAAGTCCACTCGCCTTTTCATGCTGCTTGTATTATTTCTTCTCCATTCTCACCAGTGATCATTGCTGTGGCTGCATTGGACTTGCGTATTATTTGGAGATTGGGTTCTTAGCAAAGATGCAGGGGCATCTGTGTTTGTTTCTTCCCGTAGTCACATCTTTGTTTGGCACCATGGTTTCTTCATATGATCACCAAGGCAAACTAGCTGGAACTATTTATTATCATGGCTCAGAACTTTTTAAGGCTTAGTCTAAGGAATGACCCAGTGTTACTGCTGCTGTATTTTTTTTTATTTTAAGTTTTTTCACAGAAATGACCTTCTTTGTCACAAGAAGGAAGAGGCAAATCACTGTATAGGAGGGTATAAATAGTGGGCAGCCACCAATGTAAACGTTTACCATAGGTGTATCTGTGTGGTAATAGTTGAAGTCTTAGAAATCATTGCAAGAAGAGAGCCAAGGATTTGGTTTTTTACAGCTACCTGAATTTGTCGTAAAAGTGGAGAAGTAGTTAGGAAATGATTTAATTAATGGCAGTCAGAAGAGCTTAGAGTGTTGGAATCATTAACACCAGCATTAAAATACTATTTACTACATAGTATAGTACGGGAAATAAAGGGGAGATAAAGTAGATTCTTACATTCGAGGACATAGGTTTGTGGTCCTTTTCTTTACAAAATGTATAAGTGAGAAGGGCATTCTGAAAAATAATTGTAACTGTTTAGCTGAAAGTATGGGCAAAGTACAAGACACTTCCAGAGTATAACATGCTGAACTCCTAAGATTTGCTGGGTAGTAATAGAATCAGTTTCATAAGATCATGAGATAGTATTTATTCATTTCTCAATATTATGTGTTTTAGATTGATTAATAGAAAGTGGATGTTAACGTTTCCTAAGTAAACTTGAGTGTTCTGTATAACCCATTGTTTACTTTTCCACTTGTAACTTTCTCCAACTTCAAATGACAATTATGTTCAAGGTTCTCATTTTAAATTAATTTATTGGTTTTGAATTGACTGTTAGGCTTTCCTTCTCTTGGGGAGGGGCATTATTTTCATTGCAGCTTCATGAAGATAACATGTTTCTTGATGGGATTTTAAAAAATTATCACTTTAAAATTTGGGAATTAATATTTGTAATTTCTGAATAATAAAAAGATATATATCACGTGGTAGTCTTAGAAACTAGATTGCTGATTACTGATTAGACTGTATCATTAAGGGCTGATTAAGCTAGCACTTTGCAGTATTATTTTTATCTTAGAAGTAGAAAAACCAAATTGGACAGTTGATTAAATTATTTTCTACCTATAACCTTCTATAGGGGAAACTATCCTCTCGACAGAACTCTCTTGTTAAAAGCATAACCAGTGTTTAGCTAGTGTAAAAGTTTTAATAATCCTTAAGTAGGATAACTTCTTACCCCTTTCATGGTGCTACCACCACTAGTTTTTTCTCATTTCAAGTAAGATCATCTGTGAGATCGCATCAAAACTCTGTTTCCCTTTGACCTGAATTATGTCCAATTTTTCTCTGCTGTTGCCCTACATACTGCTTTTCTTCCAAACTAGCATTTCCTAAAACTGTTCCTTCACTTTAGTCTTTGATGGCTTTGTTATGTATTCATACACTCCGTTTGTCAGTCCTGCAGTGTGTCATGCCTTTTATTGTTTTTGAAGATCGATCAGTTAGTATGTATGAGATATGGTAGCTCACTGTACTCATTTGGAGATTAAGCTGAATAAGACAACTTAACTTTAGCTCTCCTAGAATTTATACTGTAAGGAGAACAGATATGGAGAGCTGATTTGAGTTCTAACTTTTTGCAGTTGTATTCAGTGGCACCTAACTATCAATTAAAGCAGTATGTAAGAGCTGCTACTTGAAAACAGCAAAGTATGCAATGTTATGCACCATTGCAGTAAAAGCAGTTCATTCCTTTTGTGTGTCCGTAAGCATTTATACATATTTGAATGTATTAAATATTCAATTTTACAAGAGATCGTTTTATAGAGTATAAGTTACACTAAGCACTACTTGGCCTCAGGGAGCTTACGTCATGATGGGTGGGAGCAGGTTGATTCTTCAGTTTTGGATAATTGTATGCTTAATGGTCTCAGTTTCGGGGGGGCCTTTGTTTCAGAATTGTTTTCTCATGCAGGATCCAAGTTGCCATTCTATCTAAAGTCACAAATACACTCTTCTGTTGACATCATATCTGTCTTCTCACCCCGTTTTCTTCTTAAAACTTATTGCTGTCTATTTTAATAAATACTTGTTTTTTCTTTGACTAGAAATGAGAAGAGAGAGTATGTTTTGTTTTTACTTATCATTTTTCTCAGATACTGACGTATGTGACGCTTAACAGGGATTCAAAAATAGTTATTAAACAATAAGTGAGATGTATAGTGTATGTTCAAATAGTAATAACTGTTATCTAGGAAAGTAAAGAAAGATTCTAACTATACTGTCCATAAAGTGTGAACCCAAATTTGTGCCCCCCTTTTCCAGTTTTTTCTGTTTGACTTATCACGCTCCCTGTTGAATTAAAATAAAGTCATCTATATTATGTATACCTTGTATATATTATGTATGTGTATTAGTGGTATATCGTTACAGTATACCATGTAGTATTATTGTATTTGTATATCAAAAATCAGTGAATATCAGCTATTGCTTCTGGCTTGACCTAAAAATACAAAAATGGTACCCCATTTGAACTACTCTTAAGTAGTAAAAAAAAAAAATTTAAAGCGATTTTTAGTGAAATTTCCAGAAGTATTATGATAGTGCAAGAAACACACAAAAAAAGTATCTTAGAAAATGCAATTAACTTAGCCCTATTGCATTTCTGAAGATTTTTATGTTTGAAACTTGTATTGACAAGCCAGTTTTATAATGGAAAGTGCTTGCCTGACTCACCATATGTTCAGAGTTTTTATGAAATTGTAAAAATAATTGAAGTTTGATCATTGTCTAATTTGACATTACAAATGAGAAGCCTAAGGTAGAGAGAAATTAAGGAACTGCTCTAAAGACAAAGTAAAATAGAATTTCCACCAATGTCTGGATCCATCTTTAGGCTGTGCGGGGTAATTTTACAATACTGAGTTCTCTTGTTGTTTTATTTTAATTGGAATTCTTTTGAAAGGAAAAAAATTAAAGGTGCTTTTGGGGAGAAAATCAATTCTTACTGTTCTTCTACTAAAAATATTTTTTAAGGAGCAAGATTGATATGAACTGATAAAATGTTTTGAATTAATGAAGCATGTGCTCAAATCAATGTAATGAAAGTGTTTCAAAATAGTAAGCTGAAACTAATAAGATTAAAATGACACAGCATAACTGATCCATAAATAATTTCCATCTTGAAAAGCAGGTAAAGGGCTCTGAGAAAGATTTTGAGAGGGATTTTGGTGGCAGAGACCAAGTATCCCTCCATCAGCCACTACGCACTGTGCCACTGTGTGCAGGAATCCTAGGTGCAAGCAGTTGGAGAGTGAATGTATTAACCAGTTTCACGGTGCTGACTCTCATGAACAGAGACCACTGGACAGCGTTCTTGTTTTCTTCAGGCCTTTGGAGAATATTCTTCAGGATAGACCATCTGTATTTTAGCTCAATAAGCGAAGCGCAATACATTTAAAATGATAGAA